CGTGCCAGTGAAGGACAGTCTTTGATGCGTGGGGGCAAGGCTCTACAACATTACTGCGTAGATGCATTTTTTACTATTGAGTAGAATCGGTTAAAGTTCCTAAGGCTTAACCAAAATCTCCTGCGGGCTAAACTCTACAAAGGAATTCATGATGCTTACAGCAAGGGTGACACTACTCGAAACGAGGTGGGAATGATTTTTCCAGCAACATATACATGTGGCCCTCGGTACATGAAGCATCAGTATCTTGATGCCATGGCCATCTGCAAGCGCATAGGAAATCCAGACATGTTCATCACATTTACATGCAATGCACAGTGCCATGAAATAACCCAAGCCTTTCAGAAAGTTGTTGGATTGAAGCCGGAAGATAAACCTGATGTAGTTGTTCGTGTTTTCAAAATGAAAGTTACCACTTTGAGGGAACAGATCCATAAGCATCAGTTCTTTGGCAAATCAGTTGCAGATCAGTGCCTATTCATTTATCATCTCAATTGTTACTGGCAAATCTGTCTTGCTCTTCAACTTTTGATACAGTTCGACACACATAAAACTTTTTCACCTTTATAATTTATGATGTTATATATTTATAATGAAGAGCCATGGGATATAGGAAACAAAAGTAGAGAATAAACCAAACTACAGTAGCTTAGAGCTGATTGGTTTGGCTTCTCCAGACCGTTGTTAGCCCCTTGCTGGGTCACAGATTCAACTTGCTTCCAACAAGACAACCAAATTTGTTTTCCGATGCTTCCTGAGTCCATCCACTTCCTATTCATTTGCATTCAAAACATAAACAAATGCATGTGCATCAAAGATTTCATTCATGTCTTGCTAACCAAGTTTATGGTTTCCTCTTATTGCTTACCAGACTTACATACGATTGAGTTCCAGAAGCGAGGCCTGCCGCATGTTCATCTTTTAGTAAGGCTGCATGAGAATGCCAAACTCAAAACTGTCGAATCCATTGACTCGGTTAACTCTGCCGAGCTCCCAGATCCACAAAAGGACCCTCTTGGCTATGCAGCGGTGACAAAATTCATGCTTCATGGACCCTGCGGTCAGTGCAACAAAAATCTCCGTGCATGGTCGATGGAAAATGCAAGAAATTTTTCCCTAAACCTTTCGACTCGACGACTACATATGATCATAATGGCTACATTGTTTACCGGCGCAGAGATCATGGCCAGACTTTTGACAAGTGCAATGACATCCTTGATAATCGACATATTGTGCCATACAATTGAAACCTGCTGGTCATGTTCCAGGCTCACATAAATGTTGAGATCTACCACAAAGGAAGACTTATCAAGTATTTGTTCAAGTATGTGACAAAAGGGCCCGATCGTGCAACAATCGTTGCAGAAAACTGTCCAAGTGACCAAGCACGCGAGTCAGGAGTTCTGCCGCAACGAGGGAGGGATGAAATCAAACAATACCTGGACTGTCGTGTTTTGTCATCGTTTGAAGCAGTGTGGCGACTGTTTGAGTTCCCAATACATGAGCGGACCCCGACAGTTGTTTGCCTTCCTGTCCATTTGAAGGACCAGCAGTCGGTAACATATAATCCTGATACATGCTTACAGTCAGTTCTAGAGGATCCAAAAAAGGCAAAGACTATGTTGACAGAATACTTCACTCTCAATCGTGTCGATCCGGAGGCTAGATCAATACCATACGCGGATATCCCATCTCACTACACATTCCATTTATGACCAAAACATTGGGCGAGACGAAAGCAGGATAATGTTATCGGTCGCATTGTTTTTATCCCACCCGGTACAACAGATGTATATTTTCTTCGTCTGTTGCTCACAAAGATCAGCGGTGCTACGAGTTTTGAGGATCTCATAACTATTGATAGATATCTATGTAAAGACTATGAAGATGCATGCCTCGTGCATGGTTTTTTGAGCGATGATGATGAATCTCAGGCAACTATAAGGGAAGTTGGACAGTGGGGAATGCCGACCTTGCTTAGATCTCTGTTTGTCTTACATTTGTTGCATTCGGAGGTTGCTGATCCGTGAAACTTGTTTGAAGATAATTGGAAACTTCTTGCAGATGACCTATGTTATCAAACCCGTAGAGCTCTGGACCTACAGTACTTCCAACCACCGTCTGAATTCCTACGCAGTGAGGTCCTGAAGCACATTGAAACTCTTTTGGATGCCCATTCTAAGGAGCTTGCCAACTATAACCTGCCACTTCCAGTCAGAGATAGCGGCGAATTGCTCGGGAACAAGCTGCTGGTTTGTGAGCACCTTAACTATTACCTATGCCTGCAACAACGCACAGCAGACAGGACTTTTTCAACTCTCAACCGTGAACAAATTGAAGCCTATCACAATATTATGGAATCTGTCAACAGTGAGGTGGGAAGGTTTTACTTTCTATATGGACATGGTGGTTCAGGAAAGACCTATTTGTATAACACATTAGTGGCGAAGCTTCGCAGCCAGCAAAAGATAGTAATGGTTGTGGCCTCATCAGGCATAGCGGCGACACTACACCCAGATGGATCAACTGGTCATTCAAGGTTTAAAATTCCAATTGACATAGATGGTTCTTCCACCTGCAGAGTAAAGAGAGGTACTCACTTGGCAGAGTTGTTGCGACGAACCTCACTCATTGTTTGGGACGAGGCTCCCATGACTCATCAGTTTTGTTTTGAGGCTCTTAGCAAGACACTCTGCGACATCATGGATGTGCCATTAGCTGGTCAATCCTACAAACCATTTGGTGGGAAAACGATCCTCATGGGTGGGGATTTTCGCCAAATTCTGCCGGTCGTGCATGGGGGAGGCCGGGAAGCAACTTTGAATGCATCAATTGTGCGCTCTCACTTGTGGACGCATTGCCACCTGCTCTTTCTACACCAAAACATGTGCATCAATCATGATGTTGTCAATACCTCGATGATATTCAGTGGAATGACATTCCCACAATGGGTGCTTGCCATTAGAGATGGGCTCGCACCAGTGAAGTGCCTCGGTGAAAATGCGAAACTCGCATAGATCGAAATTCCGCAGTACCTCATCCTTCCACCAAATGGCACATAAATTCATCCTATCATTGATTTTGTCTTCCATGGACTACTTGATCTATACAGGTCAGTTTCCTTTCTTAAAAATCATGCTATAGTTACACCAACCAATGAAACAGTTTCTGCGATTAATTCTGCAGTGCTGTCATGTATTCCTGAAGAAACAAAGTTGTATTACAGCATAGATAGTTTGTGCACTGAATCCACTGATAGTTCTGACCTTGACAGCCTCTACCCCATAGAATTTTTAAACTCATTATCTTTCAATGGGTTACCTGAGCATGAGCTTACTCTCAAACTATACGCACCCATCATGCTACTCCGGAATATAGATCCACCTGCTGACCTATGCAATGGAACTCGATTGATGGTTACACATCTTGGGAATAATGTTGTCAAGGGACTCATACTAACTGGCACGTACGAGGGAAAGACAGTTGATATCCCGATAATTGCTTTGAATTTCAGTGAACATAAATGGCCTTTTACAATGAAACGACGGCAGTTTCCAATCCACCTATGCTACGCCATGACGATAACAAAAGCCAGGGCCAGACTCTAGAAAGAGCGGGAGTCTTCCTGCCAAACCTGTGTTCAGCCATGGTAAGTTATATGTGGTTGTCTCCCGAGTTCGATCAGTTGAGGGACTGCGCTTCCTAATTCACAATGATGACGGGTACGATGCAACATGCACCAAAAATGTTGTTTACACTGAATTGTTTTCTGTGCTATCCATGTCAGGTAATATTTACTCATTCATTACTAAAATAGTACCAGCCTACCCAAAGTGACTCTGCAATTGACTTCCTCATTTTTTGTGTCGTCTAATAGGTTCGGATGTGCCAACCCGTGTTCCTTAGCAACACCAATAGTCTACAGGCCTGTATGCACCCTTTTGACACGCAGATGCCTTTCAAAAGCACACAGGTACGCAATTACTCTTCCAGTAACAGAGGAAGCAGTTACAGGCTGCTCCTGCAACGTGGAAAGCAGTTTCACCATGTACGTGTTGTGAAACACGCATGCTCGAATACAACTTTGATGTCCATATTTTCCACGATATACAATGCATAGTGGGTTTCAATCTCCATAGGCCGATGAGTCCTGTCGGTGAAGCATGATTGTCTGCTTTCTAAGTTGTGCGGCGATGCCTACAGGTCCTAGGAATCTTTAATAGGCCTTTGGAGAACTTTCTTATCACTTCCATCAACCCCAAGCACAAAACCTTTTTGGAGTATCGTCACCATGCCAGATTTTGATTTCTGATTGCTACCCTTGAACATGGTTCGCCGGTTCCAGCTCCAAAGTCGACCCTCATATACCACACACCGGGTATAATGACTACGGAAAGCTTCTGTTGTTCGTGGACTAGCTGAATATGTTTTTTTACAGTCATTACCGATGTGCTCTCTAACACATGCCACAAGTGGTTCTTCTTCCTAACTATACTATGTTCGATATGTACTTGCATGGGTTCATGTTATAGAGCTAAGTTTGTTAGGAACTAGGAACCATTTTGTTCTCATGTCAGGTGACACTAAGGGGCCATATGTGATGCTCAAAAATTCAGTTCAAATTCATTTTGACTCCATACGTTGTGTAACGTTATTCATAGGTTTGCAGGCCAATTATATGCCATCCTTATGGCACCTGGGCCTCTGCTCTGCACGAGTTTATAATTTTTGAAAAACTTATGTGCCTATGAAGCCCCGACCCAAAGTATAGCGTACAGCCTTTGAGAAGTTTGGGGGTCATCCGGCCTGGTAAACCAGAGAGTAGCTGTCATCGATTCCATAGCCACCTCCCTCAAACCCTCCGTCCCACTGCCGGAGAGACGGTCATCATCACCTGCAAATTCGTACTCGATTAAACACACCCACTTGACTGAACTCCTTACACACCTACTCACCCTGAACGTTGCCCCATTCACGCTACCTCAACTACCAAACGTTACCTCATTCATCATGCCTCACCTTACCAGCAAACCCTCTCCCACACTTCAGTGTTTTAATGGCGATGAATCTGCTCATCTTTTACTCACGTCGGTCTCCCTATCCCTGCCAGTACAGTCACTTAAGTAATCCTTAGTAGACAGTGGCCATGTCTTGCCTGCATACCCCATTTTAAAAATGGGGAGGTTGCCGCTTAAGAGAGAGAAAAAAATACATCCATCTTGCCCACCACAGCACCGACGCGAAAATCCTCCACCTATCTCCACGAATAGCCATGGCAGCGAAAATAGCACGGGATGTCGTCTAACTATAGCCTAAACTTTGCTCCTGAAGGTTTGCCCCTTTTATGTATTGTCTGTTTTACTCGGTTCGTATTGTGTTCCAATTCCCACACTTATACATGGCCGTTTTCCGCAGAATTATCAGAAGCTCCTCTCACCGTCACAAACCTCCGGCTTGGCACGAACGAGCAACCAATCATATTGAGGCTACTGAACTTCTGGATGCAGACTCCATTCAACCAGAACCAACTAAGCGGGTGGTGCATAGTATTTGGGTAGACAAGCAGGTATGCCACCAATATGCAATTCCATGTCAATGTCATTACCGTTTACTACAATTCCCTACTTACAAACTGGTCTTCGACGTAAATCTGACAAAGATTAACGATCTAAACCATTCCTTACTGTTTATATTTACTCCTCATTGTCTCACAAACTTCCAGGAGGAGCTTATTGAAGGATACACACCAGTCTTCCTAGCAGGAGAAATACCAAACTTTTTATGCGTCGATAAAATTTACATGATTCCTTCAGTTGTCACAAAAAGATGACGTCGGTCCCTACGTTCCTACACCTCACAAGTGCGCATTCTGCTGACTAAGACAATCGAACTACGTGAACTACTAGAGGACCCAGACCGCCCATGGTTCCGAAAATCTGTGTTCTACCCAACACCCTTCACTGCCCTAAGGAATCATCTGTATTCAAAGACAGACTTCAAAGGTACGCATGTTCCCTAAAAATGGCGACATGTGCCATAGGAAAACCTAACATTTTACAAATGTAGTATGTAGATGTTGTGGGACGGTTGGCCAGTGTTTCGGAGACAGAAACCGGAACCTTTGGCATGCAACTATCTGTGCACTGCTGGAAGATTCAATGTAAGTACCTCTATTCTCACCAACTGCATTCCAACTATGTCTTCGCACATACTTATAGTTCCACCTTTTCCATTTAAATTAACCGTGGTTGTAGTGGGAACACTATTATGGTTAACTACAAATCCCTCGATCATCAGATATCTTAGGCATCAATAGTGGAAGCAAAAAGTGTGGCCCTGTTCTGCTTGCCTTCACGAGCATGGTGGTTGTCGAAGCATCAGGTACAGTAAATATAAGAACATCCTCATTACATGTCTTCATTGCGTAAGCACACCATAATTCCCTCGATTTGGGTGCTTCTGATGTGCAGGACGTCTGTGTCTGCTAAACACGGCTGCAACAAGGGTGACCCACGGAGCATATCAGCCACACTTCCGGCACTTTAGAGATGCGTAAGCATGCCAAGAACCATCTGTTTGAAATCAAAGTGTTCCCTCGGTGCCTGGATTTTCCCCAAAAACGGTTCTTACTGCCCTCACGAACTCAAAATAACATTTTTCAGGTTCTCACATGACCACAACCCGGTGGTCATCGGCCACTCACCTACTCCTTGGCCTGTGCACATCCGCTATAAACTCCCCGCCAAAATGACTCTGATGAATTCGGGAGCAGCTGAGAAAAAACTATTTCCCCCATACAATGTTAGCTACCTCAATCTTGGTTTTTTAGAAGAATATGTAACTGATCATTGCCTTGCTTTGTTGTGTATCCTCAAAACAGTCTTCAGTTTGGTGCCTCATTACAATAGAAAGCATTCCTACATGTACAAGTCACTATCACTATCCCTTTAATGACATCACAAAAACTGCAAGGTGCATATCAGAGTAACAACACTAACAAGAAACACAGTGATTGGTCTTTTAACATTCATGCCATGTCGTTTTCACTTTCCAGTTCAATGTCCTATGTCGCGACACCTCCACTTACTTCATGTTGCTCTTCAACAATGATGCAGCGATCTCCTTGCTCCAAAAAAACAACAACTGAGTTCTTGGCCCTCACGAACACTGCCAGGAATGCATGCCTTCAATCTGTCATCGGGAAAATGTTCACAGTAGAGATTGACACAGGAGAAGACTCAAACATTGCAACTTCAGTGTTTGCGGTGCACACCATATGGGATCCACTTGCATTTGCCATTTAGCGTCCCAAATTTCGCCCTATCTTAGGTTGAAGAAATAACAAACTTAGCCTACAGCCCAAAAATATGTTATGTCTACATCTTCAGCTCTGCCGTTCTCCATCAGTGGCACCTTCTGCAGTAGTTGACTTCCTTTTGTACAATGAGCTGCTTGCATTTTGTAAAACACATCACTCGGCTATCCACTTGCCTACTAATTTCAATTCCCAGTTGCTAAACATGACTATGTAATGAGTTTCGCTTTTCTCTGATGCCTCTTCTGGTTTTTTTTTTTTTTTCTTCTTCTTCTTCTTCTTCTACTTTTATTCCCTTCCTCGAGCTGCTATCAACTTGATTAGAACTTTCACATTCAGTTTCCAACGGCAGTTTGTCAGTAACCATAATGTTATCGTCAGTAAACATAATTATCGTTTAGTGCATCTTTAGAAACATATAAAGGGTTTGAGAGAACCACTGTGGCCACCATTGCAACTCTACCCAGTATTCTCAGATTTTACGTATTGGTTTCCTTTTTCCACTTTTTTGTGGGTAGTACCAATTTCTTAAACCGTTTAGTTTAAATTTTAAAATGAAATATTACATCCAGATTCTTGAACCGTTTGAATCAGTCTGCCTTTGAGAAATTAACATCCAACATCCTGGCACCCCATTTTGCTCCATAACCTATCTCTGCGTGCAAACTGTACTTTCCAACACTTTCGTCGCTCTATTGGACTGCCTTTCGTCTGCTTATCTCCATTGTCCATGGAAGAACACCGGCTAATTTTGTGCAGATCAGGTTGTTTGTAGGTGGCGTTGCAGTGTGTTCTGATCCGGTCGACATGCGCAAAACAGTGGCCATTTTGTTGTCCAAATATGTAAACCCGAATAATCTCCAGGACATCTTCATTGCTGCAAAATAACTTCCCACGGCGTAGTTGCGGGTATTGATTCTAGTAGAACTAACAGCCAAACGGAGGTTGAATGAGTTAGTCCAAAGTGAAGAGCCAACAAAATAATTTCTTCATCTTTTTTGTTTTTCTTGTTTATGCTTAGTTGATCCAGATGTCTTCTGTCCAAGGACCGAGGGAAGATTACAAGGGAAACACGACGAGGCAAAAGAACAAGAGAGAGTGTGTGTAGTAAAATATCAGCATCAGCATATATTAATATTAGATTAACACTATAATCCAATCACCACTAACGTACCCTAGCTCCCCGCCAAAAAAGAAGTAGCTTCTGCGTCAACAAGCCTTGCCGGTCACCGGGCCATGGCGTTGGTGACGTCAAGGGACTCGGTCAATGCCATTACCGACAACGACGAGGTGGAGGTTCCACTGATCGACGGCGGGGCAGAAACGAAAGTAGCCACCGGCATATTGGGTGGCAGAATCGGCAACGGGGCCTCGAAATTGAGCACTTGAAGCGCCTGCCTCACCGAAGGTCTCAAGCTCGAATCCGGGTGGGCACAGCACAGCCCAACGATCATCAGCCTCTCCATCTCTCCTTCATCAAACTCCCCGCCCAATCTGGGATCCGCGCCCTCTGCGATCATCCTCCCGGCCCCGTAAAGCTCCCAAACCCACTGAACCAAATGCACAAAGCACTGCTTCTCCAGCTTCCTCATAACCGCTGGCTTTCTCCCCGTCGCGATCTCCAGCGCCACCACCCCGAAGCTGTAGATATCCGACTCCTTGTTCGCCTTCCCCGTCGTCACGCACTCCGGCGCCACGTACCCGATCGTCCCCGCCAGGATCGTTGTTTCGGGTCCTTTGTCATGATCCACCAGCCTCGCCAGCCCGAAATCCCCCAGTTTGGTGCCGAAATTGGAATCCAGCATCACGTTGCTCGATTTGATGTCTCTGTGAACCACGCATTGCTCCCACTCCTCGTGCAAGTAGAGCAACCCGGCTGCTAGCCCTTTGGCTATTTTGTACCTCGTCTCCCAGCCCAGCGGCAGTGTGGTGGCACTGGCATCCTTGTCCTTGTGCTTGAAGAGGTGGAAATCCAGGCTGCCATTGGGAAGGAACTCATAAACGAGCAGCAGCTCTTCCTTCTCGTGGCACCATCCAATCAGCCTCACCAGGTTTCGATGCCTCAATCGGCTGATGATCTTCACCTCCGCCGCGAATTCCCGAATCCCTTGTCTCGATCTCTTGGACACCCTCTTCACCGCAACGTACTCCTCGCTGTTGTTTTTCCCCCTCGCGAGAAGCCCTTTGTAAACCCCGCCGAAACCACCTTCCCCAAGCTTGTTTTCTCCGTCGTCGAAGTTGTTGGTAGCTCGAGCCAGTTCTTGGAACGAGAACTTCCTCAGCCCTCCTTCCGCTCCTTCCGCCAATACTTGGTCCATGATTCGACGATCGATTTGATGTTGCTCGTCCTCATCATTGCCATTGCCATCGTTCCTCCTACAAAACATCCTTCTCCTGTAATGAATAACAAGAGAAAGCAACAACACCAACCCAGCGAGGAGCATCCCTCCTGAACCGAGAATCAGGGGAACTCTGTTTTTACTTCCCCTGCTTCTTTGAGGAGGCACAGTTGCTTCCAATGTGGACTCAAATTCCCACGAGTGAATCCTGTGAATCGCACTTTGATTCCCTGTAGCTCCGGAGAACCCAAAACTCACCTCTTCAGGAAGGTAATCTCTCAAATCCACGACGTAGCTGAAGGTCTGAACAAACATCATATCGGCGACGAAACCCGTCACCGCAACACTCAAGTTGTGCACACTGGAGTTGTAAGTGATCCAAGCGTCGCTCCTCCTTCCGCCGACTACATCTCCTCCCCAAGTGATGGACTTGGCGGATTCCATGGAGTTGAGGTCGATCCCAGCGTGCTTCCCAGCTGGATCCCATGGATTGCTAAAGATGTCGAACTCCACAGCCACGAAACGGTTCTCTGATTTGTTCAGTTGCTGGAGGTCTCTGGTGAGTCCCATGGAGCTTCCGTTTGTGAGGCTAGGGGGAAGCTTCGATCCTTTGGGAGCCAAGAAGAAGGCGAGGCCATCGCCGTAGCCATCCTGGTACTGGGAAAAGATGCTGAAGGTAAAATGGGTTTTGAAATCAGTGAGCTTTCTTGAATTAGCATCCCAGAGAGGCAGCGGTGAGCTATAAGTGGCGCGGCCGAAGCTCTGATTGAGATCGGAGCCGAGGAGGTTTTTGGTGAGTTGAATTGCATTGTCTGCTGGGAAGGCTTCCTCGTAGTTGATGTTCTCGGCGTGGCCGTTGAAGGTTGTGTAGTTGAAAGATAATCCGTAGGATGAAGGGGTGATGGTGGAGATGGTACTGACCACGAAAAGGAAAGAGCAAAACGTGGCCGCCATTGACGAGGGGAAATAAAATTTTGTTACGGCAGGAAGGAAGGAGATGCTTTCAAGGTTGGGCTCGGGGTATGCAAATTCAGGAGCGAAGCCATCCAATTTGTTACTAAAAAAGTTCAGAAGGGGGGAAAACAAAGTAGTACTGACTCACGTAGTTACATTTGTGATAGTTTATTGGCATTGGCAAGTCCAACGACCATTTCCTTCTCTTTTCTAGTGTTTTTATTATTTATATCCAACTTTTGTCACTTTGGAAGTGTGCCATGAGGCGGCAAGAAATGAAGTTTGCCAATTTCCAAACCTACTCATAAGTTTTCTTTTTACAAGTAATAAAAAGAGGAAAAGATAGCTACAAATGAAGGTGTCAAATGAGGTTTGCCCATTTTCAAAACTAGAAGTCAAACCCGTTCATACTGTAGCTCGATTGATCCGCAATCCGATTAATCTGAACTCGATTCACCCAAATTTGAATAAATCCGTAATCCAACTGAGGCGCAACACAATTGATACAAAAATGATTAACCAGAACCCACCCGATTGACCTGAATAATTTATATAGTCTTTCAAAATGAAGTTTTTTTGTTCTAAGCCAAACTAAAGCCATTTTTATTTCGTAAAGGGAAGTTCAAAATCTGAAAAATTCACTTCAAATTATGTATTTTTTTATAAATTACCAAAATTAAACAATGAAGTTCACTTGAACAGTAATTTTTTTAACAAAATTACAAAAAATTATATACGAAATATAAAATCATCAGAATGCTAATACGATAATGAATATTTAAAATTTTGGTTAATCAAAGTTATCAATTAGATATAAATATAGTAAATTAAAGTATTTCGTAATTTAATTAGTTTTAAAAAAGGGGAAAATTATGGTTTTGATAACTTTTTATGAAAAGAAAGAAGAGATAAATTTGATTCTTTCGATTTTTGGGAAAAGAAAGAAGTAATATATTTTGGTACTTTTGATTTATGAAAAAAAAAGAGGGAAATTCTTGTGTTTTCAACTCTTTGTAGAATGAAAAAATGTAAACTTTTGGTGCTTTCAATTATTTAGAAGAGAGAAAAGGGGTAAATTTGAATGCTTTTAATTTATTGGAAAAAAAGTGGAATATTTTAGTGTTCAATTTTGTATGAAAAGAAAGAAGGGAAACTGTTGGTGCATTTAACTTTGGTGTTTCAAATTTTAGTTTTCAAATATGAATCTTGAATTTTAATGTGAAGGGCATTGCTAATTCACTATGCCTAACGACCCTTTCCTTCGTTCCCTTTTCTAGTTTTTTTATTGATGGAACTTTTGTCTTAGGATATTGATTGTTGGAACTGAATCTTCGGAATTGGAAGCTGAACATTGTCTGAAGTCGTCGAACGGATCCCCTCCATCTCGGTGATTCATCCTATCAAAAAGGCAAAAGTGAGTATGATCCACGTCGCTCTTGAGGTACAGCTTCAGGTTGTGGCCATGAACCCGACGGATGCGACCACCATCATCGGTCAGCTCGACCTGGCCATCCGGTAAGATGCACGCGAGTGAGTACCCAAACGGCCAGGGTGGTCGTGGTGTAGGAGGTGGGACCAGCTCGTAGTGGTCTCCACCCTTCTTCCGTGCAGGCTTAGCAACCTGCTGCTTCGGCCGCCACTCCTCCTTGAGCTTTTTGTTCGGAGGCGAGGCTGGATGGAGTGGCGGAGAAGGAATGAGAGGAGGGTCCTGCAAAATAAGAGGTGCAGAAGGATACACGACAGGCTCGTGTACCTGATCAGAAATGGCATGCACAGGTGTGACAGCAGTCATAGCACAGTGATCGAATTCAGTCACAGAAAAAGTAGCATGTTCATTCCCAGCACGCAGGATCAGTTTACCATCATGCACATCAATAAGTGCCTTGGAGGTGGCAAGAAATGGTCTACCCAGAATCAAAGGCACGTCCACATCCTCATGTATATCAAGAATAACAAAATCAACAGGATATGTGAATGCACCGACACTGACAAGCAGATCCTCTATGATTCCCCTAGGATGCACAATGGAACGATCAGCTAGCTGAATGCTCATCCTAGTAGGGCGAAGTTCACCTAGGTCTAGCTTTTTATACAACTTATATGGCATGACGTTTATGCTAGCGCCTAGGTCCGCCAAGGACTTGCCTACATGCATGCTGCCAATAGTAAGAGGGATAGTAAAACTCCCTGGGTCTTTGCGCTTTTCGGGCAGCTTGTTCTGCAGGATAGCAGAACACTCCTCGCTCAGCAACACTGTCGAGAGATCCCCAAGTTTCTTCTTGTCGGTGAGGAGGTCTTTCATGAACTTGGCATACTTGGGCATCTTCGACAGTGCCTCCACGAACGGTATGCTGATGTTGAGCTGCTTCAACATTGCCATAAACTTGGCAAACTCAGTCTCCAGCTTGTCTTTGTGTAGGCGAGTGGGGAAAGAAAGCTGGGGCACATGCTCCTTAACCACTGGTTGTGGCTTGGGAGCAGGGGCTTCCTTCTCCACCCGCACTGCTGCATCGTCGGCTGGAAGTGCGGAAGCAGGTAGTGGTTCCTCCTGCCTGGCCGGACAGGATCAGCAGATATGGTCTTACCGCTCATGGTGAAAATGGCATCCAGCTGCTGATGCTGGTGAGGATCACGAGGATTCGGAATAGTGGTGGCAGGCAGAGTCCCCGGTGCTCTGGTAGTGTTTTGGCGGGCCAAGATACCCACCTGGTGCTGCAGATCTTGCAAGATGGCACCTTGGTTCCTCTGACCTGCCTCCAGTGAGGCTACGCTCTGGTCCAACCTCGTGATAGTTGCCTGAGTGCTAGTCATGAATGAGGCTAGAATATTTTCCAGCTTGTCATCTGATCATCTAGGGCAGGAGCTGCTGCTGGCTCGGCAAACTGGCGCTGGGGATGCTGGAATGGTTGCCCCTGCCTAGGCTGGTAGGGCTGCTGCTGTGGGGCTGGCCCCTGTCGAGCCTGGAAGGGCTGCCTCTGCTGAAAACCACCGGCTGGTGCTGGGAAACCAGGTGGTTTAGTGGTGTTGCTGCTCCAGGCGAAATTTGGATGCTGGCGCCACCCCTCATTATATGTATTGTTGTACGGGTCGAGGCGTCGAGCATTGGCGATGAAGTCCAACTGCTCTTGGGGAGTAGTAGACTCCCTCATAGCCTGGCAGTCTTCCACTAAGTGATTTGAGCTCTCACACCACTGACATTGAGCTACTAGAGGTGTAGCCAAACCTCTGCCCGGAATCAGACTATTGGGCTGCTTCAATGTCTGCACCAACTCAGCTACCTGCTGCTCAAGCCCGGATCTGGTCTCCATGGCGTGCACACCACGGTCCCGGGAATGTCTGCCTCTGCTACTCTGTCCCCAAGAATGATCTCTGGCAGCCAAGGTATTGATCATCTAGTTCAGCTCTGGTGGAGTCTTGGTAAGAATATCCCCTCCTGGGCATAGAGACTCAATCACCCACTGGCTGTCCGGAGAGAGAGCACTGTAGAAGTTCCCCACTGTGAATGCATCACTGAAGCCATGATGGGGACACTGCCAGAAATATCCCATGTACCGCTCCCAAGCATCACGAAGTGACTCATCTGGCTCTTGGCGGAAGTGAGTGATCTCCCGCTGGATCTCTGTAGTCTTCGATGCCGGATAGTACCTGTGCACGAATTTGTCAGCCAGATCGTCCCAAGAGGTGATGGACAATGGGGGCTGGGTCTCCAACCACCTCTTAGCATTCCCCGCCAGAGAATGGGGGAAGAGATGAAGGCGGATTGCATCATCAGGGACACCATTAAGCTTGAACCCGTTCGTCAGCTGCAGAAAACGGGAAAGATGCACCCTGGCCTCCTCATCCTTCAAGCCATGGAACTGGACAGAGGATGTAATGAGCTGAATCCAGCATGGCTTGATCTCGAAGTTGTTTGCTGGAATAGGTGGGTAGAGGATGACCGGGCGGATGTCAGCAATCCGTGGAGTGTAGTAGTACTCCAAGGTGGGACCCGGCGGCGGTGGTTGATGATGAGCCCCATGATCCTGGGGTATGGGGTTGTTCCTCAGGACCTGATTTCCCGGGGGAGCCTGCTGAGGATTCCCCGGGTGTGGATTGTATTCTCCGTCCATCCCGTACTCTTCCTCAGAATCGCTGCTCAGGTGGCCGTCTATGCACTCTTCCGTAGCCAGTCTAGCTCGCTGTTGTCTCCTGAGTTGGCGACAGGTGCGGTCAATCTCTGGATTCAAAGGCAGTAAACCTCCCGACTGGCTACGGTTCATGCACTACCTGCACACAGTCAAGCAAGAAAAACCTGTGAAGGCACAAGTGGGACAAAGCAAACAAAGCGAAAAGAAAAGCTAAATTAACAGAAATCACTTTTCTTCAACAACCTAGCCTTCCCCGGCAACGGCGCCAAAAACTTGACTCACTTCTACTGTCACTCCAGGAATTGGCCAAGTGAAACCACTTCCTAAAGCGTAGTATAGCGGGTTTGGGTTTAAATGTCAACCCGGGTCCTAGATTTGATGACTACTCAGTGAATTCTTGTTATCTAGCAATGAAAATTTAATGCAAGTCTAAACTAACAAACTAACAAAGCAAGCAAATGGTTGTATTCAAGTTAAGAGAGGTCACCCGGATATGGTTCCCCCTAGACTGCAGTTAAGCCGGATTGTAATTACCAAGTTCAGTTTCTATGATAGTTATACTGCGGAAGGTTCTTAAACAGCCTGAAGTCTCGACTAAAGGTCTTCAGACCCTCTCAATCTGAGTCTCTAGCGGGCGACTAACCTCCACCGGAGTAAACAGATTGAGGCCTTAACAAACAAAACCTCCACTACCGGAGTGAATCCGGTACAGAATAGTGAGTTGGCTCCTCGACTAAAGTCACCAACTCCCTACCTTCAATTAAGGATGCTCTATCAACCTAGGCAGATATTCTCATTCTAGGTTAAAGCAGAAACAACAGGAATTTGATCAGGATTCAAGTCATTCAATCATTCAAGCCTCAATCGAATATAATCAGCTCATAGAATCAGTACTTGGGTTCATACAATCAAACCTAACATACAAATCTAGGGTTCTCCATACCCAGATGAATGGGAGAACTACTCCATGGAGAAAGAAGCAAAAGCAGAATCAGACGCGGAATTCTTACTCTGAAGGATGGATTCCTGCTCTTGGACGTTGATCGACACTTCTCCAAGCTCAAGCCAAGCTCCA